CTCGATTTTCCATGTCAGAGGTAACACAGGAAACACCCTACATGTCTGCAGAGAGCAGCGCTGCCCAAAAAGCAGCTATTACCTTCTTGCTTGCACGAGGCAGCGACTTTGCCCTCTGTCCCACCTCTGACCTTTCACATCCGTACCTTCAAGGCAAGTATGGTACGCAACCAAGGCACCAGAGTGACCCCCACATATCCAGAAAGACAGGGAGACTGTGTCACGGGTTCTCCATGGAAAAAATCAGACCTCCCAGAAGCTTAACCTCTCCCGCCGCCTCCGCTCTCCTCGCCAGGTAAGCGACGTCTAAGGGCCACTTCTTAGAAGAGATGCCAAGGTTGAACTCAGTCCAGTTCGTGTGAGCTTTCAAAGTGCCTCTCGTGGGCTCTACCTGCCACATCTTGCTCCTTCCTGAACAGAGAGGAGCTCACTCAGAGGACATGCTTAATTCCAAAGAATCCAAGGCTCTTGTCCTAACGGCCCTTCAAAATGCAGGTTTTCCCCTCCCCACCATCATCACCATCCCCCTTAAAATCTAAGCGCAATTCCACTGACTCCCTCTGGACTCTCTCTTGCTCCTCTTTTCTTCCATCTGTCCCGTCTTTCATCCTCTCTTCATGAGCCACGCCGTCTCTCCCGCATTACGCTTTGCAGTCGGGACCCATAGGAGGTCTTGCTTCTGCAGCCACATGTCCGATCACCCCTGCTCTGCTTCAGAGGAGGCACTAGGATGGGAAGGGCAGGGCACGGCACCCCTCAGCCTCTTGTGGCTCCGACTCCCACCCCCGCCCCACTTCCCGCAGCTCCCCCGGCAGATGAGCCGTGGATTCTTCAGTCACACAGGCAGTAATTACACCTACTAAGATTCCATGATGGGCAAGAAAAACATGGCAGGAAGGAGGGAAGTCAGAGATGATGCTGTGGGAGTCCCCTCCCACCTCCCAGTGCAAAGTGCCATTAACAGGACAAATACGATGCTCCCCTGGCCACTACCCCTTTTTCCGTTAGCTGTGCTTGGGAACCTCATTAGCACATCCGTGTGTGTGAACTTGAACTGTAAACCAAACCCCGTTATAAGCTGAATCTAAACCTTAGCTCTGATTCTAGACTAAAACCCAGCCCCTCTGCAAGGTCCCCTCAAACGCGATTCCATGCCTGTCCACAGAGCAACCCACGGTCCTGCTGGAGCTCAAATCCTCATGGGAACACAGCAGCCCTGCCATCCTAACCCACACCATGGCCTGCCCTGCATCACGGCAGGTCTGTGCTAACACCGAGCAACATTTCCTTTCAGGACACCCTGGAGTTGTGTTCCCGGGAGACAGAGTTTAAGAGCATCCTCTTTGCGCTTTGTTACTTTCACGCCATGGTGGCAGAAAGAAGAAAGTTTGGGCCCCAGGGGTGGAATCACTCCTACCCCTTCAACACTGGGGACCTCACCATCTCTGTGAACGTGCTGTACAACTTCCTGGAGGCCAACGTGAAGGTAAAGTTTCCGGCGGCTCGGGAGGGCACCTCTGAGAAGGATGATGTGACATCAGCACGGCCAGAAAGGGGTGTGCTCACCGGGGCAGGTCTACACCCTCCCCAAGGGGAGTGGGCAAGTGCAAGTTTACCACAGGGGCAACCCCAGGGCCAGTGTGAGGCTGAGGAGTGAGTACCATGGTCGGGGGGGGGGGGGGGGCAAAAAAGCTCAGGGAGCCCAGTTAGTGCCTCATGCCTGGGGGGAGGGCCCCCCAGACCCCCCTGTGCG